AAAATTCAAATCTTACCAGTCTTCTTCTTTTTCTTTTCCTGTTTTTCAACCTTCGGGGTTTGAGCTCGCACTTTCCCTGCTCGAGCTAACGAACCATGCACTTTGCCTAAAGCAAAATCAAAACTTCTCAGCAATTTTGACAACTGGAAGAAAAACCTCAGAGAGGAATATTAGTCCCTCTTTCAAATTAAAGGGATTCTAATGAGAGTCTAGAATTGAATTACCTCCAAGAAGTGGGAATGAAACATCAATATTTGCTTCATTACCAATCCCTAAATTCACAAGTATTGCTTCGTCATCATCCAAAATTGTAGCGCCATACGTCAAAAGTGCATCATCTATGCGTAATAATGCCTAAAAATAAGAAAAAAATCTTCATGGAATTGTTGTTATGCTTGTCTGAGTGATTAGTGTTAATTTACTGAGTTCCAAAAAATAAATAGAGCGGTTCAATAAATCCTTTTTAGTATAGCGAGTACCAATTTAAAATTTTTTTTCACTTTTTTTTCATTCCCATACAATAGCATTCCCATACAATTCCATTATAGCTTAACTGCTATTTCGACACATAAAATGAAAAGTTTCTGCTCATTACTCCTCAAAACTTTCCAAATGATCTCATAATTAATAAAACGTAATGAATGTTTGTTGAGCAATATCATAAAACCTAACCATTCTTAAAGTCTATTATAATGATTAATTTACAACACATTTGATAATGCCCAGCAATGAAATAATGAAAACATTCAAACAATCTTACATATCCAAAATACCGGTCATCATGATAGCAAAGCGAACCTTAAGCTGAGCCACTGTAGTCGATCCCGGAATACATATCGATCTCACTGTATCACCAATGCCTGTCACGAAAATATGCATCACTCTCAACTTTCTCCTAGAGTCTTGGCAGCTAAACAAATCTGCAAAAAAAGGAACATAAAATTTCACCGTTCTCCTCGGAACTTTAAAACTTACAACAGATAGCAATCAGGAGCAAACATTTCTTTAAAAGACTACAAATCACTCAAAAATACCTAAAACGATACTTTGAAGTGATTTATTGTACCTTTAAGAACTGATTAACAACGTATAAGGTACTGATAGTTCATAATGTAACATATTTGGGGTAGCAATATTTGGGCTATGACAAAATAGAGTGACATAAACATCAAGAAATCTATCGGCTAACAAAAAAAGTTCAAAGAAGACCAAGTTGAGAATTTTTGAGTTTTCCAGACGTTTTGACTTTCCAGATAGTAGTCGGTCTCACAGACACTATGCTAATCTTATAATTTACCAATTAAGACAGTACTGAAATCTCTGTGAAGAGCAAATCTTACACCTTTCGAAATGTGTCAATAATTTCCACGACAATCACAGAACGTTAGATGTAAGCTACTTCCGATAATGTACACAAGAAAATGGTTCCTAACTGTGATAGGATTACTCAAATCTCACTAAAAGCTTATGCCTAATGCCACAAAAGGAAAAGAAACGAACCGAAAAGTTCATCTAAACATTAGGCCTGCTAAACTAACAAACCATCACCTCCAATCAAAAACTACATTGTGTTACAATGATATGTTTATGAGTCGATACGTTGAGTCATCATGCAATTTGCTATACCGGCGGCCAATCCGCCGTCAAAAAAAATTTAACGGTCTGCGACCGCTGTACAGAAGTTAATCCTTCCGGTAAGCAATGAATAGATTTATTTCCGTATAATTTCGTATCATCAAATGACAATCTGCAACATCACTACCAGTTGATTTAGAGTTAACTGTCAAAAAGTATGCAAAGAAAAAAAAACTTCTTCCATTTGATGATCGAAACTATTTGTTATTCACATATCATATGACAATATAAAACCAGATAAGACGTGGATACCTTTTTACATAAGCAATTTTCAGTGCATTCAGCCATGACTGAAGCATATGTCTGATAGCACTGATTAAAGAATGCAGAATACAATCAGAGATAATAGATAATCGGGACTGGTTTATACTAATTTGTACCTGATAATAATTACACTCATAGTTATTTATAACAGAATGACAATGTTATATATGAAACTATAAAGTCTATTCCAAAGAAACTTCAAATTTAGCATAATTTTCAACAAATCGAAAACTAGTTTTTTGCATAAAAACTTTATGAAAAAGAAGTTTTCACATAGAAACTGTTGTGTAAATGGTATGTAAATATTCTCTCCATCAGCGAATATGAAAATGATTTTTAGGAACTAAGATGATAATTACATGAGGGGTGGTAAATAGGGATATCCATTCATTAGTTGAAATTGTATGTAAATGTCCAGAATTGAGCAGTCTAAAGTAACCACGCAATTACTAGTTTTCAATTCTTTCTACAAACAAAATCTTGTACAACGTAAGCGTTGAAATATTAATATATATAAATATTCTATAAACAAAATCAAAAACTACTTTCTAAGAAATATAAATTAACATTGAGGATTTCGAAGCACATATAAATTATCATATACTAAAGCTTTCACCGCAACCACAAGTACTCTTAATGTTTGGATTGCGAAAAACGAATTCGGAAGACAAACGATCTTCCACATAGTCCATTTCACTACCTAATAGCGTCAGCTGCGCTTTCGGATCAATCCATAAACGCACACCATCCTCAAAATCAACTTGATATAGGATTAGGATAGGAGATACAAAAAAGTGTCATCTAACAGAAACATTGTGATCGAAGGATTAAACTAGAAAGATTGCATCAGTTTAATCCATTGACACATATTGCTCACGGTAATTCAAAACAGCACTATCTGCTACAAAGCTATAGCTGTTAGACCTAGCCAATACGATCGTGCTCATTGAACGGAAATTTAATAGAAACAAAAGAAAATCGCCTACCTGGACAACTTCTTCATCAAACTTTGCCTTTCGTTGCGCATAATCGAGCGTATACGTCAATCCATTACAACCGCGTTGCCTTACACTTATCTGAATACTTCTTTCTTACCTTTCTGTAGTATAACTTTAAAACCTTGTGTTAGATAAACTATTAAAAATGTTCATACGATGCCAACTCCAACATTTAACTGAATCTCTCAAAACATTGATCCTTCCTTGCATTTTTTAATAGGCTTTTTATTAAAAACTTACGAAGAAGGGTGTAACTTTTCTATATACTTCTTTGTTTCGAGGGTCAAAAATAATGCGAAATGTTTTGTTATTTATTTTCATATTTCAGTTTCCAAACAAAAAAAAAATGGGGGATTACATTCCAGGATCAGATTTTTCAAAATTTTCAACAGTTGAATGACCGAGCATATAAATTTTTAGATCAAACTGTTCACTCTTACTCGACATTTCTTCAAAATATTCTTTCGACTTGAAGAAATTTTCACTGACTAACATTCACTATTCTTCGTTGCCTATATCTAGCTCTGAAATAAACGAAAAACATACTTTTAACGCTGTCGTCTCCGGCTGCTTGCTTAGCAAATATTTGACACGCTTCACAGCTTCAGGTGTTAACCATAATGCAACCTTTGACGGTAAGTCACGACGGATTGTGCCTTTGATGACGCGAGCTGCCGTGTTAACATGCCGCCAAATCATATGCTTCAGCTGCTTCTCACCAATTTTTCAAAAAATAATCTGATTAACAAAGAAATCTGAAACAATGATATAAAAAATTGCCTTTTGATGAATCAGATGAAAAAAATGCTAATATTCTAAAAGATCAGATGAAAAAAGAGAAAATTGCTCGTGTTCTCAAACTACCAATAAGACATTAGCCACAATTAGTTTCCCTAAATTATTAGTTTGCTAAATTATTAGTGAGCAGAATAGTAAAATCAGGCCAAAGATAACGTCGCAATACATACAAGACAGAAACAGAATATCTATCTGAAAGCTATCTTAGATTTATCTAAAAAAGAACACTTTCAGAAAAGATAAAAAAACCGTAAAGAATAACATTTTCCAAGTTAACATTCAATAATTTGCATCATTTCCAGTTTCAGCTAAAATGAATACATGCAAACAGATATCCCGTGCACAGAGAGATAGGAAACTTTCATTTCACAGTGAACAATAATGTAAAAAATTCATTTATTCACATATTTTGTTATCGTATATTACAGTTAAATGCAGATGCAAAAAATAACTCGTCACATTGAGCTTGAATAATTAGCAAATAAGTCATATCCTTTTGCTAATAAAAATACTATCAAATCCTCCGTTTTAATTCTACCCATGAAACTCGGGAATGTCAAAGGTTAATTAATCATTAGAAAATCACAATTATATTCGAAATAAGTAGCTTATAGAAAATTCATTACTCTCTGAGATAGACTGGGAAAACAGGACATCTCACAAGGCAACATTTCGATAATAGCAATTATTTTCACAAGTAAATAAAAATTCAAAATGTTTGAAATGGAAGAAGTACTCCAATAGGTACACTGCTTCTATTTCCATACTCATGATATTCAATGGTACACATATCAGCTGGACCCATTGATACCAGCGTTGATGGATAAAACTGTAACAATAGGATTAACCAATTTTGTTTATGAACAAAAGTGACGAATTAAATCCCAGTATCGATTGAAAACATATTCTTAAAGGGCTCAATCAATTATTACCCAAACTCTTAATGAATTACATCAAATGCTGTTACTTACTACATAATAAACAATTGTTACATCCATAGATCTAGATGTTATGTTTCATCAGACATTTTAACATGTTCAGGCATGTACAGGTGCTATATACCTAAAGGTATGGAAAATTTCAACTACAGTAATCAATAAAACATCTAACAAATAATTTTTCTACAAAATTTAAATTGAACCCGTACATATTTGAATCCTAACTGTCCGAAATAATTCCTTATAAGATCAATTTGATTCGTTTCAAAACTGTTTCCCGTTGCTGGTAATCAATTAAATTCATATTTATATTCTGTTCCTACATACGAGTATCAACTATCACACACATAAAAGTATAAGATAATGCACGTACTTGGCCATCACTCCATGGTGCAAGGCATTTGTCACCAATTTTCCATACCGGTGGTACTTCGCCGTTCAACATCACATTATCGAAAGGTTGTTGCTGCTGCAGTGATTGTTGCTGGTCGTACAATTGCCGATAAATTGCATTCTGTTGATAACCGTGATTTCTATTTTCAAAAAATACAGTTTGCTGTGGAATGTTATGATCATTACAAACATCTGGTCCGTTATCAACCGGAGAAATGTGCAATGCTGAGAAATCTGCAAAATTAAACACATAAATATCGACCATATCCTTTAACGATTGAAACCTTATGATGGGCACAAGATGTGGGTTCCAAAATTCTTGCCTCAAATACACGCCATTGAATTTGCGCATGTATGATCATTAAGTAATTTTGGTGAAAATCAATGAAAATAAACACCAGGTTACCTATAATGATAAAACCAAATCCTCCATATTGACTACTATTATTTTTCCAGCTTATTAATCTTAATCGCAATCCACAAGTTAATTCCATGAACTGTTCTTAAAGATATAATAATCATACTTAAAAATTAGTTGGGTAGCAAAAAATTAGTGGGAACAATATTACTCTAGAGTAACAGTAAGTGCCCTCAATCACTCGAAATACGCAAATAGAAAAACAAAGTTTAAGCAAAGTAGTAAGAAGTTATGTAAGACCACTGTTGATTGAAATCGATTGATCGTCTGCATAATTAGATCGAAATCTATCACGCATTGTCACATTTGTTACATTATTTCGTTCGCGATCCGGTCGCCAATTAAGTTGTTTTCGATATCTATTCGAGTTCGAAATTTCGACTGTACGTGAGCCATTGCCATTATCAGGAATTTGCCGATTGCGAAATCCTACAAAATGTCTTGTCGATATGAAAAAACGAAAGAAATAAGCTAAAAGGTAAAATAATTTTGAATAGCTACCTCTCTCGTTAAATCTGTTTCTTCGTGCTCGATCCATTTCTTGAGTTTCGGCGTTCTCTACATTCACTTCAATTTTTTCCACCTGAAAATGAATTCCAATATTAATAATTAAACGTTTTATAACATTAACATCAAGAATGATTTTCATGAAAGGTTAAAAAGCAAAGACGCAGAATTCTTTATTCACCGAAATTGAACATTCCAGTAAATCGTAACAAACTTTCAGAGCATTAAAATTCCAGTTTATAGAGGGGCACAGAAGGTAACAGAAGAACAGAAGAAATAAAAATGTTTCAAAGGAACAAATTCATAGACTACTGACATTAAAGGAAAGTATACCAGGCTTTTGATAATTACAAAAGCATTGATTTGCAGAAAATTCGACTAACCTCCAGGTTACCATGATCTCGCTGCTTGAAAGATTCATCTGAGATGGGAACTTTCGACTGCACGAAGTCATACAGTGTGGGAGGATTCGATGGTCGATGAATCGGGGACAAATTTTTCTTGTCATCACGGACAAAACGTCGATTATAAATTACCTTAAAATTATTGTATTATTGATCATTACTATTCTTAAACTATTATGTTAAAATAATAACAAGCATGAAAATCCAATAAAAAACATCCATCCAATATTAATGAACAAAAACTGAGCCCGTTCATTTTCATCGTCAATTTCATTGAAATTTTACACACTTTAAATACCTCCAGTAATGGCAAATTTAAATCCAAAAATTGCAGAAGAATGCTCAAATATATCGCCTCATACTAAAGATTATTTAAAAGTCTTTTCAAAGCTTTGCAACTAAAGCTATTAAAAGTATGAAGAAAAGAAACTCTATTTTCCACATCAGGTTTTGCTTTTACCATCGGATCTTTTTTGCCGCTGATATTACAAGAGGTCGATGCAGAATTCTCTAATGGTTTCGGCTTCAACTGAAATAAAAAGCATTTAATTAATAATGTTTCGTTTCCATTCATTACGAAATTGATAACAGTAAGCAAATAAAAATATGGTTTATTAATTGCTGTAATGACGTCATTCAGATATCAGAAAAAATGCATTCACTTCAATACCAGCATTAGTATCCGACCAAGGAGAATAATTTTAATTTTTCAAATTAGTTTTTTCTTAACTATAAGTTACCTGACTTCGTGCAAATTTCTTTATGGCATTATTTTCGACAACCTGCTCAATTTGAGCTTTCCTCGCAGCATTGAAATCATCACTACGCTCATCACTTATTCTTTTGTTTAATCCATTGATTATATCATTGGCTCGAAATATTTTGTTAGTGGAATTAACCGGAGGAGAAGAGTGCGATAATTGCTGAAAAAAGGGGTTGGAGTTCAGAAAATCATGAATCTAAGACTGCAAAATTATAAGAAAAAAAAATGAAAAATTACTTTTCCATATGGCTACAGTTCTAATCTTCTATTGTATCGTATATTTTGCATGACAAATCAATTCACAGAGCAGAGTAGACAGTCATGCTATTATCACTTATAATTTCTATGACCGTACCCTATCGGTTAGAATGTTGTATAAAAATTGTAAATCAGTAATCTCAGATAATCAATTTTCTACCTGCTTGGAAAATTGGATCCATTTCGGAGCATTAGTTTCAGCGGTTCGTGTTGGTTTCTGTAGCCAGTTCTACAAAGTTTAACTGTTTTTGTAAATTATGAATTGAAAAAGAATTTTAGGATGCGAAATCTTGAAACTAGTACCAAAAGAAACCTTTTCCATATTCCACTTTTCGACCATTTTTTCAACGTTGCCACCCAATACTTGGCAATTGGCTCCGTTGATCAGCAACATTCCATTCTCGATTGGAATTTTCCCAACCAAACAAAGTTTTGTACCCGGTGGCGTTTTTGCGCTGGAAATTTCAATAGCAATAAAAAATAAAGAATAAGAAACAAAGAAAAAATGAAACAAACAACTTTTTAGAGAGATTCGGTATTTCGTTATACAAATTCGTTAATTCAGAAGAGATGTACTCAAATCTCGGGTCATAATTATAATATTTCAGATAATGTACTTCAGTTTTGGAATGGGGTCAAATAATAATGCTTGAACGCTGGAAAAACCATCACTCAGCTGGATCTTGATGAGACCATCGGCATGCGTGGTTTCGCTATACTTTGGATACGAAACATTGTGCGACTTTATAATTTGAACGACCAGAGGTCCCTGAAGATCGCAAAATAATTTTGAAGTTAAAATCAAGCCAAATTTCAACGCGGAATTCACATACTAATTGTTATATCCATCATTATTATTAATGAGTTCAGTTAAGAAACACAAATCTAATTCTGTTGGATTACTTTTGACAATATTTAATTCTAAAACACGAAAATGTATTTCGAGCATTAACCACTACCACTTATATGTGTTATATTTCGGAATAGCCGATCAACGTTCGTGTTTTTTCCTGTTCCGCTAGAAATGTCCAACAATAAATGAAATCTATCTATCTACTCATCTCGTTTGGTAAAATTGGTATAGGCAAAATTGTAGCTACACTAGCGGTGAAAAAAAAAGAGATGAGTAAAAAAATAAAGAATGGAAAAAATGCAAAACGCAAGAAACAAGTATTTAAGGAATATAGAAGAGGATTGAAACAATAGGATAAATGTTACAAGCAATAGGTGGATCGCGCATTCCCTTAATTTGACATACCTTAAATTCATTTAATTGTTTGTTGATACGATCTGAAAGTACCGGCAAAGCATACTCACGCATATCAGTCTGAAATAAATGGGCAAAAAAAAATTTAAGAAATATCATATACTTCTTGATACTATTCAAAATTTTCGGATTATATCATTAATTCATTCATTTAACTACTATCAACTTACTCAAAATAAAATTGAGGCGTAAAACAGCATTTAAATTAACAATTGGTAGCTTACTCTTATGTAGTGGGTGAATTCAAGAATGATTAATATTTGTAATTTTTTTACTAATGAGAAATATAAGATAGAAAGAAGACGAAAAATATCATTTATACCGAGGAGATGAAATTTCTAAAATGGTTGGGAATCCATTAGAAATGAGGAATCTCCTGTTTAATATTGCTCAAATTATAACCACATGAACACATCATTTAACATGTGAGATATGCAAGTGAGCGTGATTTCATAGTTTTCAAAAGATGTTTAGATAGATAATTATCGCTCAAAGTAACTTAAATAAGATATAGAAACTAAACTTTTAAATGATAAAACTGTCCGATTAATCAACCAACGCTGTGCAGGTAATGTCAGTTCCTATGAAAAACTCATGATTCTAAACAGATCTTAAATTGAAAGGTTAAGAGGTGCATAATTAAGACATTTCATATCTTAACTATTCACATCTTAATTTTTCAACTTCTTTTTATAAACAATTTTTAGGATTTCGAAAGAAGGTTATATGAAATGAAAAGTGAAAGGGAAAAAGAAACTCGCAAAAAGTAAGCTAACATCGAGAAGTTGCTTCTTCAGTTGATCAACATCCTGTATTCGTGAAAATGGTTTACCAAAAAAATCGGTCAATTGCTTCTCATTAATCGGCCATCCCTCACGTACCAATAATTCTTCCAATTCACTCCCATTCATCTATCATTAAATGATGACATTTCGGTTAGATCATGAGCAATATATGCGTGAAATTCTGTTTTAAACATAGATAAATACTTTTAAAATACAAATATATATATAAAAAATAGTTGTAAGATCAACTTGCATCCACATGTTATGACAAAATCTGCCTGATCAAATGTGTCAATTTACATACGAAAGATTGATGAAATTTTAAATTGGAAATAAAAATTTTGAATTAAAAAATAGCAAGATTTAAAAAGTCGCTAATTACATCTACATAAAAACCACAAAGTCTGACTAAAATTCTATCAATGATTAAATTAACTGTTTTTTAGCTGAATATTCTAAATAATTATAATAATTAGTAAGAGTAATAGTATCAGTAATAGTATGATACTACACCTACTAACAATAATTGCAACAATAGCATTATTAAT